ACAGTCTGCTGTGTTCTGATTTTGATAGTTCCCAGCCAGGCAGAAATGCAATTGTGTCTTCCCGTCCCATTTGCAGGCCCAGAGCTAGGCAGCTAGCAGAAGGGGATATGGGTGGACTGGGGTGGGCTTGAAAGTGTGGGAGTAAAAACAAAACAGCCAGAGTTAAATGCAGGTAGCTTAATATGTTTAATGTTATTTAAATTGCCTTAAAATCAGTGCAATACAATTTGCATTTTGTTCATCTGATAAACATACATTTAAAAATATCTCAGTACCTTTGAACTCAGTGGCTGGAAAGTAGCAGATCAGTGAGCTATTGGATAAAAACTTGCCTTGAGAAAAGAGGAAGAGAAGATCTTTAAAATGCTAGATAAATATTCATGTAAGCCATCCAGAGTATCCTCGTATATATAATATTTCCTCCCTTAAGTTAAAGTTCTTTTTGTTGGGCCTTTTGAGTATGAGAAGTATATGTTCCTTTGCAAGAGTCAGGAGGAGGGGCATTTGGAGGACAAATATATAAAGCAGACCTTTAAGTTATTTTTCTATAGTAGTTTGCCTGACTTTGAAAACTTGTAAAAATGAATGTCACAAAATAATAATTCTTTTTTAATTGATGAACTTTATTTGATGTTTTACCTTGCTGTCTTCAATCAGTATGAATGACTTTAAACTAATTTTTAATTCTTCAGTTAAAGATTCAATGATACTTAAATTTCCAATGTTGACAGATGTTTATGTGCCAAAGTTGAATAGTTTTGCTCTTGAGTAATGGATGGGCAGGAAACTCTGTGATTTGATTCATATATTCAGCCAAGCCATCACATGGTTTGCTTCGTGTCAACATAGCATGTTGGATAAATCTGGCTATTGTGGCTTAGCCTGCTGTGTAAATGCATGAACAGCCTTGTGATTCTTGAAATAGTTATTCTGCCCAACTTCACTAGTGATTACATGAAAAGGGGAAATGCATTGTCTTCTGAGGTAATAAGGACTGGAGATTTCTGGTCATATGACTCCTGAGAAGAGACCAAAGAATGATAGCTACCTCCTACTTTCCCCATTACATCTAGGTTCGGACTAACGTATCTCCTTATTCATTTTGTGATCTGGCACCATCACTTTACATGGTGCTCGAGGGAATAGAGGCTCTGTACTCTAAAGGGGAAGATCTAGTAGGATCCCAGCTCCTGGTCAGGGCTCTCAGTGTTTGTTAGTCCTCTTGAAAGAGTTTGTTCTTACAAGGAGTAATATAGGCCTACTTGTGATGGGTACTGTTCAATTGTTCATTTTTTAAAAATCTCTTTTTAAAGATTTTATCTTTCATGAGCTTGTAGCCAAGAGGTTGTTGTTCTAACTTAATTATAAAAAATAAAAGTGAGTATTATTAATGGTTTCACATCCCACGATGGTTCTTGTTATCTGTCTGTGCCATGCTGAGCTCTTTCAAACAGTAGCATAATATGCAGAAACAACTTTTCCTATCACCTGATAAAGAAAATAAATCCAAAATTGGGAACACTTCTGAAGGTGCAGCCACACAATTTCCTCTCTCCCTTCCCTTTTTTTCTGTTTGCTGCCAGTATCTAAGGGCTCTGTATAGGCCCTACTCCTACATGATTGCAGGAAAACCTAGAAAGCATTTAAACCATTACTATGATTCTATATTGTATCTCAGAATTTATATATAATAGGGGTAAGGGAAAAAGACTACAGGAGAAGTCAATGCTAGCTCTTAATTTTTCATAGATCTTCAAATAGCTAGGAGTGATGATAATGGGCTTCTCTGGAGGGTACATATAATATTTCATCCTTCCCAAGGAGTTGATCCAAGAGCAAGTGATTCTGACAACCTCTGTGAGGAAAGTCCTCTAAACCAGTGTATCTCAGTCCACATACTGTATCTTAAAATTGCTAAATTTGAGAAACATCGCTCTAATCCATCTGATAAAGCAACAGAAAATTGGGATGTCAGTTTCTTGCTAGGTCCTTTGGTTAATTCTAAAGGGTGCTTACAGAACTCAGTTCAACACACACACACACACACACAAAAGAGGCTGATACAAAGGGAAGAATGTCAATTCATGAGAGTCTTGTAAAACATACAAATACATGTACAATATATGAGGGATTTTTTTTTTATCACAATGGGTAATTCTGCCCTGACTGAAATGGAAGAAAGTTCCAGGTAACCAACATAAGTGTCATTTTCTTTAATATAGGCAGACATATCAACACATTCCATCAATTTGCCCTACAACCCTCTGGGGCACCTTCTATTCTTTGGGTTCAGTGCTCAAATTGCACCAATGTCTGGGAACACAGAACTAAAAGAATCTGAAATAGCTTCACATTATGAGAGATCTTGAGACCTGACCAAAGTTTGACAGTAATACCTTTATATAAATCTGTAGTGCAACAGTTGTAGGAATGCTGTGTACATAGCAGTATGCTTAAAAAAAAAATACTCTGAGCTATGAAAAATACAAAAAAAAGGGCAACCAAAACGGGATTAGAATTGCTCTCCATCTAGGAAAAACAATAGTATTTGGAAGTTTTTAGTGTATAAAGGTGGTGTGTAAAAGTGGGTGTTTCTCAACATTGCCAACTTTAGGTTGCCTAGACTTCCAATTCCCAGAATTCCCCAGCCAATAAATCTTTTAATATGGCTAGAGTGGTTTGGGACCTCTTTCCATTAGCTATCCAGCAAGGGTGAAGGATAACCAGATTCTTAAATATATATATAAAAAAGGCAAAAGGGTTTGTTGAACAAGAAAAACAGCATTTTTTTTGGATTGGTTAATATTGAAGATTCTGGCAGCCAAAGTCCAACCAAGCCAACTTAAGCCAAGACTGTTTCATTTTCACCCTTGCTATGAATGTTTGCCACACTAAAGTTCTTGTAGAAAAGTTTTGTTTGTATTGAAGCTTCCTTAAGAAATTTTCATTGCCCTTATTTCACATTATAGGTTGTTGCTAATTGTTATTACAGGTGCCACCCCAAAGTGTTCAATATAAAATACACAGGATGGTATCTTGTTCCAAAAGATCTACAGAAAAAGTTAGCAATAATCAAGCTTAGAATGTTGGGGAAAATGCACTGCTAAATGTTTAACTGACCTGGATTAGAATGTTCTATAGACCCAGCAGTGTCGTGATGTTTGTTATGTTCTTTTGATCAAATAAAATCAGAGCAGCATTTCTCAACCTTGGCAGCTTGAAAATATGTGGACTTTAACTCCCAGAATTCTCAAGCTGGGGAATTCATAGAGATGAAGTCCACACATCTTCAAGCTGCCAAAGTTGAAGAGGGACATTTCACACAGTGCAAAAAGTTAAAATTAACAGCACAATGCAGTAAGCTGAGATCTATTAAGAAGCAATTTTTCCCTAGAACTGCAAAGAGGAGGCAACAGGATGGGGCTAAAGAGAAAGCAGAAGCAGGAGAGAAGGCAGACCCAGAGCCAAAATCAGATTTGCAGAATATTTAGGTGATCAACAGTCCTCCTTTTCTGAGTTCTGTCCTCCCTTGAAAAGTATCCTCCTACATGTCCTCCTTTTCGATATTTGAAGACTAAACTGCAGGGCTTTTTTTTTTTCTCATAGAATGCTCAGAACGGCATTCCGGCACCTTTTTTGATGTTTTTTTTCAACTTTTGCATGAGGTGTGCTACTCCCCCTATTGGCTTTCAAAAGCCAATAGGAATTGCTGCTGAGCGCGCCAAAACACCTGGCCAGCAAACTTTGCACATGTAAGTTGTCTGCAGCAAAGGCAAATTGGCAGGAACTTTGCACCCCTCCCTGCTACCCAACTACACCATCTCTTAGTTAGTCCCGAAGATACCTGGAGGAGACTGGAGCAGCAACGCCATGGTAGCTTTCTCTTGATCTTCGGCCCTGCTAGGGCAATAATGGCTGAGGGTGCAAGAGGCAGGAGAGGTGGGGCTGCTGTGGGCGGGGGTGTGAGGGGCGGCAGTGGCTGGCTACCCCCCGTGTTGTGGGAGCCTGCTCTACATGGGGCTGCACAGGGTGGGCAGTGGTGCTGGCGGGGCGGCTGCAGGCGGGATGTGTTGATGGTGGGCTGCCCCCCCTGGGAGCCGTGGGGCCCGCTCTACACGGCGGGGCAGCAGTGCTGATGGGGCGGCTGGGGGCGGGGGCGTGGCATGTAAGTATAATTACAATATAAAATGTTATTGTTACAAATGTTTTTTATTATGCATTTATCATATTATAGTGTATTCTGTATTACTGCTGCAATGAATAAAATATTTCTTTTATTTATGATATTTTTTTCTTCAATTTATTTGTGTCCTCCTTTTCATTGTAAAAAAGTTGGTCACCTTAAGAATATACACTATTGAGTCAAGGTCAGGATAGCATGTTGTGACTACAGCTCAGGCCCAGGCAGGGGCAGGAAAAAAGTCAGTTTTAATACAAAAGAGACCCAGATTTAACTCAGTCCTGATCAATTATATTGTGCAAACACCAAAACATAATCAACTGTGTGGCAGTGTCAAAACCTTACCTAGTCAGTTGTCCAAAATGACCCCACAACTCATAACTGGAGATTGAGGCTGTATTCACAATTTTTTAAACTTAGTTACTAGAGTAACCTATTATCTAGGTTTGCAAAATAGAGAACCATAAATTATATGAGTTAAGTATTTATAGTAGCCTTAAGAAAATATTGTCTCATTTTATCACTGGTGTGAATCAAGGAGAACTGCTCGGGTTTTAAATTAGCGTTAAGATAGAATTATATATAACTGTATATATAACTGTATTGTATAGAAGAATATGTTTTACATAGAGATCAAGAATTATGTATTAATTATATATATCAAGAGGGACAAATCGTTAGGAATATTTATTTTGGAATGTCACATTATGTCCATCTTTGTTTTTAACTGTATTATAAGTAAAAAACTTTAAAAAAAGAAAAGAAAATATTGTCTCCAGAAGATTAAACAGGAAAAAAGATGCTAAGGCTGATACCAATATATGGCCATCACAAAACTGTGCTACTTTTAATGGTAATTTTTCAGCTGGACTATAAAAGGAAATTCTCCTTGACACAATTGCCAAACAAATTCTTTGAAAAATCTAAGTATTTTCACAATTCTTTAAATGAAAAAAATTATTTATTATAGAAGTACAGAAAAAGAAGTAAATTGCTGGCGTTCTCCTCACCAACAAACTGCTTTGAGAAATTATGATAAATTTAAAAACACAAGATTTTCACCCATCTAAGAATATTTTACATTAATAGGTTACAAGTGAGGGTTCTGTCATATTTTTCGAAATATTTTCTCAGGCATTTCAGAAGCAGCATCACGGAAGAGTTACAGAAAACTGAGCAAACAATAAGCATTACAAACTGGCTGAAAGTGCCTCATAAATTATTTTTTGGTGCAATTCTTTAACTATTTAATTCTGAAGTTTATGGAGTTGTGGCTATCTTGTGGATCACTTTTGGAATAATTAAATATAATTTAATATAATATAATTAAAATATAACATTTTAATATAATTAAAATATATTTTTGAGATCGAATGTTCAAATTGATTTCCTTGCTTGGAATATTTTTTTTTCCAAGACCATCTTTAAACCTTTTCTTTAGTTTCCACCTTGAACTCTGGCTCTAGGAGTTTTGCCCAGACTTCATTATAGGGATGCATTTTGGATGATGGTTTGTTATATTGGTCTATCATCCACCTCTTTTCAGAGGCCCATTTCACTAGACCTCCTTGAAGATTGTATATCATGGAAGAGGTAATGAAATTTTGATTTGTCTCACAGCACAAGTAGTCATTCAGGAGCTGAGCTGTCATAGATGATCGATAGCCCACAGTACAGTAGCAAACAATGTGTCTGTGACACTTTTCATATTCTGAAATGGAACAAAAATTAAAGTTTTACACAGATGCATATGTAGTATGATGGCTGTATATGATACATATCACATTGTTCTCTTTCTGTGTAATCAATGTTATGTATGACACAAAAAAGGGTATAAACAAGTAAGCCAAATAAATTAAAAGCATAAGAGAAAAACGAAGTTTTAAAAAGGAAAATATAGCTAAAACTAGTTTTCAGCAACAGCTTTCCTTATTTTTTTGTCCTTCAGTCCTCATTCATTCTCTCTGGCTTTTTCAAGCAGGCTAGACAAGAGCTAATTAAACAAACACACAGAAACCAGGAATACCTTATAAGGAAGTTTTATTTAAGAAAAGTTAAGAAGCCATTATGAAAGAATTCTGGCTGACTGCAGTTTATCAAATAGTAGTATTCAAATTATTTGGGTCTATTTCTGCTGGCTTTACAAAAAGGGCCAGAAGAAATTATTTTTAGGCAGACATATACTTTTCATCCATTTCTGAGTGTGGTCACAGTCTCATTTAATATCAGATTGTTTACTTTTGATCATGTGAGAACAATCCTAATTACTCACATTTATATTCATCACCCATTCAAAGTCTTCTTGTTTTACACACATATTTAAGTACTCCTCTCCCACTGAACATGCTGATCGACATTTTTAAAGCAAATGGTTTGATATAATAACTTGCTTGAGTCTAGGAACTGGGAAGTAAGGATAGACCAATATTTTCCAAAATAGACCCGGAAAGAATTAAAAGAAAGAGTGTGCTGTGAAAAACTAAAAAGGCCAACTTGGTTCGGGATCTTTTCCATCAATTGAGTAGAATTTGCAATGTCATATTCTTTCAATCCAAAATTGTTTGCAAAAGGAAACAAATGAGAGAGCAATGGAAAAAACATCTGTATATGACAGAATCATAAAAAATAAAAAGGAAAATATAGTGGATAATATTACTGTATTTAGAAACCCCAAGAGAGAGGGCAGAAACAGGACATTAGACCAACTGTTATAGAGCTAGAATAGCCTGATTCCTGGTCATAGCGTCTCAGTGAAAAAGAGAATATTCCAAGTCTTCCAACTCTGAGCCTTTTGTGTGATAGTGAATAAGTATGGCCTCTTAGAAATCTAGGAGTATCCAACAACGGAAGTCATGCATGATTTATTGGAAAAATTCAACTCTGCTTGATGAAGATTATCTCAACAGTTTTTAAGCATATCTCATGTCTTTAAACACTGGTCGAACCTGGTCCATTTGAAAACCTGCACAAAGTAGAACTTTTTTCCCCCATACCTTGTTTGAGCCATGCTTTGAAACTTTCCTTTACAGCATCAGTTTCAGGAGGAACTAAGATTGCTTCTGGCAAGTGGCTGACTTCAAATTCTGCTAGACTTCGAGTATCCTAAGGCAAAAGGAATAAGCAAAAAAAAATCTTGAAAGGATTGAGCAGAATCACCAAGGGAATTCCTATCCCATCTTTTTCCTGCTTTTGTGTTCCTTCCTGACAGCGGGATCACTGCCTGAGAAGACGGAATAAAGGAAAGACATGTCGTATCATAAGACTGGTTATTTTTTCTCCAAAGATACCCAGCTTCCAGTCTGCTTAAGTAAGGAGGTAACTCCGCAAAAATAGGCTAGTAGAAAATGGTTCCAAGACAATGGCAAAGCTTACAAATTATATATTATATTGGAAAGAGTACTTTTCAGATACCCTCATCCCCAGCTTTTTTTTTTTTTTTTGCAGATCACTGGATATCTGTTGTCAAAAATCAGTACTACAGTCTTTCATTTTCAGGTAGGAAAAATGTGATATAAACTATAAATAGCAATAATTTTAATAGTAGAAAGTACATAATAAAGCAGATAACCTGGTAATAGCTAAGAATAGGAGGGGAAAAAAAACTAATTCGAGTTATGCAAGACCAAGCCTTAAGAACAAATGCATACAAAGCCAGAATTGTGAAGACAGCCACTTCTGCAAAGAAGCTGAAGAAACTGTCAACCACCTGGTTAGCTGCTGCAAGAAGATGGCACAAACTGACTACAAACAAAAGCATGACAAAATAGTAACAATGATGGAATGAAATATTTGCAAGAAATACCATTTGCCTGCAACCAAGAACTGGTGGGACCACAAAGCAGAGAAATAGAAAATGAAGAAGCTAAAGTTCTCTAGACAAGCCCTACCACATAGCATCCCAGACTTATCAATTGTCAAAAAGAAAGACAAAAATATCTGGATAGTGGACACAGCAGAACCCAGAGGCAACAGAATAGAAGAGAAAGAAATGAAGAAAATTGCAAAATGCAAAGATCTGCAAATAAAAGTAGAATGACTGTAGCAAAAGAAAGCAAAGATAGTAATAATAGCAATAAACGCCTTGGTGCAATCACTTAAAATCAGCTGGAGCACCACTTGAATACCATCAGCATTGACAAAATCATCATCAATCACCTGCAAAAGGCAGCTTTACTTGGAACAGGTCATATCCTGTGATGACATACCTGAGATGGTGTGTTTAATATCATCAAACAACATTTGCCTATCCCAGGTCTTGGAAAGGATTTGATAGATGGATAAAAATGCCAAATCCAGTCTAAACATCTGGTTGACTGTGGGACCAATGTAATGATTTATTAAATATGTGCTGTGCAACTCTCAATGAGTCTGGGCAGCTCATAACAAAGAAATTATAATCAAGCCAATAAAACATAAAGATAGTAGATTATATTAAGAGAATTCAGTATAATTTTTTAAAAGAGTTCTATCTAAGCCCCCAGGAATTCTATTCCTGCTCTCAGACATAATGCAGTCCTGCTTACATTATATTATTGCTACATGTGTTGCTTCTTGTAATTTTATGCCTTCTTCTGCTTCTTCCTGTATCATTGCACCTGGAACCTAAAGAGAACAGGTTAAAAAGGGGCAGAAATGAAGCCTTTTGAACAGATTTTACTGGATATTGCTGACAGGGCTCTCTAATAAGGTGACCAACCGTTCTCCTTTAGGGAGGACAGTCCTCCTTTTGTGAGTTCTGTCCTCCCTCGAAAAGTGTCCTCCCACATGTCCTCCTTTTCAATATTTGAAAACTAATCTGCAGGACTTTTTTTCCCTCATAGAACGCTCAGGATGGCGTTCTGGCACCTTTTTTGATGGATTTTTTTTTCAACTTTTGCATGAGCTGTGCTACTCCTCCTATTGGCTTTCGAAAGCCAATAGGAATTGCTGCTAAGCGCGCCAAAACACCCGGCCGGCAAACTTTGCACATGTAAGTTGTCTGCAGCAAAGGCGAATTGGCAGGAACATTGCACCCCTCCCTGCTACCCAACTACACCATCTCCTAGTTAGTCGCGAAGATACCTGGAGGAGACTGGAGCAGCGATGCCACGGTAGCTTTTTCTTGATCTTCAGCCCTGCTAGGGCAATAATGGCTGTGGGCGCAAGAGGCAGGGGCAGCGGGGCTGCTGTGGGCGGGAGTATGGGGGCAGTGGTGGCTGGCTGCCCCCCATACTGTGGGAGCCGTGGGGCCTGCTCTACACGGGGCTGTGCAGGGTGGGCGGTGGTGCTGGCGGGGTGGCTGCAGATGGGGTGTGTTGACAGCAGGCTGCCCCCTGGGGCTGGAGCCGGCACAGCTGGTGCTTTGGGAGCCGTGGGGCCCGCTCTACACAGCGGGGCAGCAGTGCTGGCGGGGCGGCTGTGGGCGGGGGCGGGGTATGTAAGCATAATTACAATATAAAATGTTATTGTTACAAATGTTTTTTATTATGCATTTATCATATTATAGTGTATTCTGTATTATTGTTGCAATGAATAAAATGTTTCTTTTATTTACGATATTTTTTTCTTCAATTTATTTGTGTCCTCCTTTTCATTGTAAAAAAGTTGGGCACCTTACTATCAAGCAACTGATTAGGCTTGCCCAGAACTACAGCATTCAGTCTTGGAAGACATCGGTGGTGCCTGGGAGAATATGAAGGGTTCATTTTAGAAGAAGCAAAATCACCCAGCTGAATGGAGCACTGCTTTAAGGTTGTAAGATAGGAAGTCTCCCAGGTATTATCAGTGGCCCAGTTCAAAAAATCACTGAACTGGCTATGGTAGTAGATTGATAAAGCTTCAAAACTGGTACAAATTTGAGGGAGTAAGTTGTTCCTTTAACCTCAGATGGGTTTTTATAATGTGATCCATGCTTAACAATGAATGAATTTTCTTGGTTCATACCACATGCCAAACTTTCAAATGACCATCCAATGACCAAGATTGCATTTGTATCACCATGTTGGCTAAAATATAGTTGGCTAGTTGGGGATTCAAGATGTTGTGTGAACAGATGCTCTCTAATGCTTCATCTTCAGACTAAAAACTTAATTAAGGGATAGTAAATCATCTGACCGAAACAGTAGCTCAAGAAAGCAATTTAAGAAACTAGACTGTTGTACAATGGACTTTTTGTAAATTGTGCCTCATCACCTCTGTTCCTTATGACTCCCCAAAACAGAACTGGCAGAACATTCAGATCTCTAATCAAGTATGTTCCCTGCATCATTTCAGGCACCGCTTCTCTATGATCTTTCATCTGTTGATGTGTAATGACAGAGGAAGAGTAAATAAATTGCAGGCTACATCCCAGTTGTTATAAATAAGCATCTTGCATGCACACTCTGTTCTATGACCTGGCTGAATGTAATATTTTTTGGTGTTTCTACACATTTTATAGGACATGTGCTAAAAATATATTGGAAGATTTTTAGATAATCTTGAGAAAGCTGGTTACACCCTGTTCCACTTTAAATATTCACAGAAGCATATGTACAAGTGCACATATAATCACACATATGCCAGGAAAGTGACTTCCATCTACAGTAACCAACACCTTGCTCCAGGCATTTTGCTGCTGTGAACCATAGGAAAAACTTACAAGGAATGCTGCAGAAGACAGATTCTCCCACGATCAGAATAAAGTCACTGAGGCTTAACACACTAAGCCTAAATTAATGAAGTACAATTTCTGTATTCACATAACTATTGTGCCCAAATATATAAAAATATTATGGCTTAATGTAATGACCATGCTATGACAATGGCTAAATCATAAATTACCCAACCCCCTAGTCTAGCATCTGGCGGAAATCCTGATTGTGTGTGCTGTTTTTTTTGTACAATTGGCAATATCTCTGATAGTTTTGAAGACCAAAAATTAGCCACAGTGGAATTAGATTTGCAGAGTGCATATGAAATTCTGGAGGAAATACAGTGTATCAGACTCTGAGCACATTGTATGTAAATAGCTTCATGATTCTCCTGAAAAAAAATGGAAAGGGATTCATAGTCAAATTCTCTGGCTAACAGGATATCAAGAAAGCAGCTGGATCAGGTCTTATCAGAAAAAGACAAATTTTGTAATCAGTCACAAAGTTAGTCACGGTTTTGCTAACTAGGAAAAGAGTGAAAATCCTATGCAGTTCAAAAGTATGAGGAGATACCAATCCTGGTCTCACATAGAATGTTAATTTTATATATAGGGCATTTGTCAAAAAAGGAGACTGTATTTCAAAGCATAATAAATTGGGAATAAATGTCCTATTCTGACTGATATGACCAAACTTTCATATCTTATGTGATGCATAAGAAATGAGTAGAACTGAAATGAGTAGGCTGGTAGCAAAGGGCAGAGTATAATCCAAGCAGTCAAAATGGAAGAGAAGGACCACGGGAGACATGATAGCAGTGTTCCAATATTTGAGGGACTATCACAGAGAGGAGGGGATCAGCCTGTTTTCCAAAGCACGTGAAGGCCAGATAAGGAATAACGGATGGAAACTGATCAAGGAGAGATTCAATCTAGAGATAAGGAGAAATATTCTGACAGTGAGAACAATCAACCAATGGAACAGTTTGGCTTCAGAGATGGGGCTTTCATCACTGGAAGCTTTCAAGAAGAGACTGGACTCCCATCTGTCAGAAATGGTGTAGGGTCTCCTGCTTGAGCAGAGAGTTGAACTATATGGACCTATACAAGGTCCCTTCCAACTCTGTTATTCTGGTTATGGCATTTGACTTTACTCAGTTTTCATTTCTGTGAATACATTGGCAGGCAAAATGAATTACAGCATATATTGCATATTCTGTTTATTTTTCTTTGTATAATGCATCTTGATGAACACCTGGAAAGCAATAAAGGTAAGATTAAAAAAAACCCAGAGTTAAATTTGACTCACAAAGATAACATTGAACAAGTGGATTGTCATTTTCTTCTTCAAGGATCTCTTTTCAACTTAGCCAACCTTTAGTCAAAAATTCAGGGGGAGTCCTGTAGTTAGTTATCTAGCTAACATATTTTATTAAAAGACCATCAGACTCTTATTTTTTGTTGCCATGAACTAAAATAGCTTTCTTCTTTG